GGACTGTTGTAGCTAACGTTAGCTCTGGTAACTGTACCAGGACTGTTGTAGCTAACGTTAGCTCTGGTAACTGTACCATGACTGTTTTTGCTAATGTTAGCTGTGGTGTCTGTTCGTTACTAACCCTAACCCTAACAAACGGACTATAGGTGCATTACCGCCACTGACCAGGCTGCGTGCATCTGTGTCACTGGTGTGCAGGAAAATGGACCACGTTCACGCTGTTGGCAAACGTGGCTTCAAATATGATCCAGACCATTTTTGTATGTCTCAGTTTAAACGCTGAACGCAGCCTCAGAAAACTTAGCTAGGTGGGATATTTGTGTTTGTATTTTATTAACTAGTCTCATCCCTACATAACAAATCAACTTGAAAAAGTTGTGTTCAACCACAGCACACCACAGTCAGGGGGTTGTTACAGACTGAGGTCCACGTCTACATCATCAGTGGTCAGATTTTTGGACGTCCTCATCAGTCTCACAGACTCAGGCTCAGAGAGTGGCCGTGGATGCTGTGACTCACTGCCCTGATAAAACATGTCGGCCATTGATTGCTGTTGAGAAGCTTCATCTCCATGACGACGTGTTTACATAACATTTTCATGGTTGTCCCCACAACAACGGACATTTTGGGAAGGAAGTGTCACCTGCTCTGGGTCAGGACACATGGCTCACGTGGACCTCATGATGCTGCAGGTGTGGAGGTCAATTGGTCAGGTGGTTCAGAGGTGGAGGGCGGCATTATTATTCAGCTTAACATTTTGACATATTTTAATTTGTTAGCATTGGTCACAGCTTATGTCCTGTTTTTGAAATAATACCTTTGGTTTGGTTTCTGTCTTCATTCTTCATTATCCAATTTTTGTGTGAATTTATTTTAGACCAGCACAAAATTTTTTTTTCAGTTTTCTTTACACTGACTTCAGTTTGTTTTTTTAACTCTATGAACATACGTATATATTTATTTAATATTTAAAATGTGTTTCCACTTGTTGATCTAACGATGACCCACTCACATGTAGTCTCTGTCCCACAAGTCATTGCTTGGAGCCTCGTCACCTTTTTTCTTGATGCAGATCTGGTTTGGAAGATGCTGATTGGCTCAAAGTCATACTTTAGAACAAATTGTTTGTGGTCGAAGCCTTGGTTTTAAAGCTCGGTGACGAGGGAAGTGGTTTTGGACAGAGTGGGTTTTAATACTTCCTTTGCTGACCATTAGCCTGTGTGTTGATGGAGGATAACAGACTGACTGACTGACTGACTGACAGACAGACTGACAGACTGACTGACAGACTGACTGACTGACAGACTGACAGACTGACTGACTGACTGACAGACTGACTGACAGACAGACTGACAGACTGACTGACAGACAGACTGACTGACAGACAGACTGACAGACTGACTGACTGACAGACTGACAGACTGACTGACAGACTGACTGACTGACAGATTGACTGACTGACTGACAGACTGACAGACTGACTGACTGACAGACTGACAGACTGACTGACTGACAGACTGACAGACTGACTGACAGACTGACTGACAGACTGACCTCAGAGCTGGAGGTTCATGTTGGACACTGATCAGAGTTAGTTTTTACTGTTCTTAGTGGAATGAAATGGTTAATATTTAGATTTAGTTTATGTCAAATAACAACAAACATCAATAACATTCAGCAGAACGAGTTAAGTCTGGACGGAAGAGAAATCATGAACAATTACAGTCAATGTTTCAGTAAATGTTAAGTTTGGATGAGACTGAAGTACTGGAACTTCAGCAGTGGTTTGGTTGAACATAGTGGTGATGGAATTATGAGGAAGGAGAGAGAGAGAGAGAGACACACAGAGAGAGAGAGAGAGAGAGAGAGAGAGAGAGANAGAGAGACAGAGAGAGAGACAGAGAGAGAGACAGAGAGAGACAGAGAGAGAGACAGTGAGAGAGAGAGACAGAGAGAGAGAGGGAGATCAACAGATGGCAAGAGGATTATGTCTTCAATCTCTAAGCTCTCGCTCTCTCTCTCTCACCATCTCTCTCCATGTCTCTCTCTCTCTACTTTCTTTCTACCCTCTCTCTCTCCCTCTCTCTCTCTTGCTCGCCCTCACTCTTTGTATTAAGTGCAAAAACCCAACCTCGTGGTCTGTACACGGACACTATAATGGACGAGGTTCTCGTTCCGACCACCGACCTCAGCTCATGACTTGTTACCACGGTGCTGTATGAACATGTCAGCCAATCAGCCATCAGCCAATCAGAGCATTGAACACCATTGATGCCTTTATCAGAACCTCTGGTGTTGGTTCTAAGTGCAAAAACCCAACCTCGTGGTCTGTACACGGACACTATAATGGACGAGGTTCTCGTTGCGACCACCGACCTCAGCTCATGAGTTGTTACCACGGTGCTGTATGAACATGTCAGCCAATCAGCCATCAGCCAATCAGAGCATTGAACACCATTGATGCCTTTATCAGGACCTCTGGTGTTGGTTCTGGTGTTGGTTCTCAGAGATCTGAGTCAAATGTTTTCCTGTTGTGTTGGAAACTGCGGTCCTTGGTCCAGACCTGTCGGAGCTGAACGACCTTTAGAGCCAATCACGGACATTAGATGATAAGCATCAGTTTCCACCACTACAGCCTCCTGTTGTTCTGTCACAGCTCTAAAAAAAACCCAAACATGTAAATTAGAGATTCAGGCTGTTGGTCTTCACAGACCGACGGAAAAACCAGACTGACGACAACAGGCGTCTCACCACCGTGTCCTCGTCATGTCTGGAAAGTTTTTATTCATATAACCCCAAAAAATCACAAGGAATAACTTTTTATGAATAAATCCTGTTTCTCTCCTCAGGTCAGTGAATATTTATGATCTTTTCTCCTGAACCACCTGAGGTTAAATAGAAGTTTAAATCTCAAGGTAGATCCCACATTTATATAAGTGACAAAGACAAAGTGTTTCCCTTAAGAAGATGATTTTTTTTTTAATCCAGTGTTAATTTGTGGATAAAATTCAAATTTATTGATCTCCTGGTTTTTCCTTTTTATTGTGACGTCACTTTGACTTAAGAACAAGGTTTCATTCCATGGAGAAAACAAACAGATACTTGTACTACTAACAGTACTGTGATGATGATGATGATGATGATGATGATGAAAATATGAAAATCTTGTCTGGTGCCTTCCTCCTCCTCCTCCTCCTCCTCCTCCTCCTCCGTCCTGTCCATCTGCTCTGGGCTCCAGAGGTTTAGTGGTCTCTACACGACCCAACACATAATTCTGCCGCTGCAATCACAATTAATCCTCCTGCGAAGAGCTGCACAATCCCACAAATGTAATTGTGCAGATGCATCAAGATGATGCAGCTAAAAAAAAAGCAGAAAAAATACAAGGATATATTTCAGTTCAGAGTTTGTTGGGGTTTTTTTTTATTATTTATTTGTGCAGTAACAGCTGTTGTCGACCTTTTTTCTTTTGTTCCTTTTCGTCTGTTAATCTTCAATCCATCTGCTCCGGTTTGAATGTCTCTCAGAGTTATTGTTATTATTGTAAATGGTTTATATAAGACGTTAAGTCTCTGTGTTCATGTAGAACTAATGCGAAGAGTCAGAGTCTGTGGGATTATTGATAAACTGATGAACAGACCAGAGTCAAAGACATGTTGGAGTTTTTCTTTCTCCACAAAAACATAAAAAATAAAACATTGGGGTCAATGAACAAAACATACAGTTATATAAATATTAATATTGGGGCACAAGTGCAACCAAAACACTGTG